CGTTGAATTCGTAAATTATCCGCATACAGTTTTTGTTTAATACATTCTTTTCATTTTTGAACAATTTTTTTCTTCTCACTTGGAGTTCGTTTCGTCTGCTCCACGTGCATTCTATGGCATTCGTGAAATATTTGTCCATTTTACTTCATGGTACGTGTGTATCAAAACACACTTGAATTCATTGAGTAAACTACCTGCATTGAATTATATTCTCTTTTCCATCTTGAATTTATAGCCTTTTATTTTCAATTCAGTTTAACACCAATCACATGAATCTGCACATTTCGCGTAACTTTTTTTCCTAATGAAACAGCCTTACTGATTAACCAAACGTTTCTATACTTTTATTTTATGTAAATTTTAATAATTTCATCTATACAAAAGAGTACATAATGAAAAAAAGGTGTAGCTAGCATCTGCTGGATGCTAGATCTAGAATCTAGACAGCTGAAGTCCAGAAGAAACAAATTGTGGACAAAAACTATCTGCACCAGACAAAATGATTGAACATATGTAGCTAAAGGAGATAGTTTAAATTATGTTATTTCATTATAGCATCAAGAAAATAAAAAGCAAAATAAAAAGAAAACAGTAATAGAAAAACTAAAGAACCCGACCCGGTTCCAAGGTGGCCATGGTTCCTTGGGTGGTACGAGGGACAGAGCACCAGTTATGAGAAGAGGAAGATGATAAATTAAACTCCAATGTTTGAGGTTTCTGCTCCTGGTACCAGTTAGCGGAGGACACAGTTGAGGATGGTGCAACGATGTTGTCTCTGCTTGACAACATTGCCTGTGGGGGCGCGGTAGCAATAGGTGAAACCCTTTGGAAAAGTTGATTATGAAGTTCAGGGTTGAATCCGGGTGCACCCGTAAGCCGCTGAACAAGGTCGCGGAAGTTGATAGCATCCACCTTGTACACTCTGATCGGTGTCGGTGCCGGTGGTGCCACCGGCGCTTTCTTCCACGGTTTTGCTTGTGCCTTCCTCACAGAATGAAGCATAGAATTAGACTTGGACACAGGGTAAGAGCTGGAATAAGCTTCCATAACTTAGATCGCTAGTTTAGTTGGTTTGATTTGATTTTCTGTGGGAATGATGATTAAAATTGAGGTTTATATGAGAATCTAGCTGCGTGGGTGGAGGCTATAACAGGGCACGATGATGGTGTGCTGCTTTTGAACTATTATTTATAGATTGTCGTGTGCACATTGAGGGTAACGATGATGAAGGAGAGTTCATTGTTGCATGGAATGTCAATAAAAGACAACGACTTGAGGACGAGGCAGCTCAGGATTCAGACGTGATTTTTGTCTTGACCGTCGGCGGAATATATCATCATTAATGCATATGCGAACTCATATCGTTCCATGGTCAAAATAGTGAGGTTGGATGGATCACCATTTTAATTATAATATTATTATTATTATTATTTATAATATCCTCCATGCTTGTCTTCTTTCCACATTATGTTTTCAATCATGTGATTTATTGTCTTTTAAAAAGATGCTTCTCTTGTGTATGAATCATGTGATTTTTTGTTATATGCTTGTGTTAAATAATAATTTTTAGATTTTATTCTTATAACTACGTGTCCCTGTTCTGTGAATTGATAGCAAACTACTCATAGAATGAAAAGACACTTTCATTCACTTGGCAATAACATAATTTATTTACTTTTAAACGATTTTTCCAATATAATGTTAATGTTTTAACTATAGCCGCCTAGCTACTCATAAGCTGTCAATTTCAAACTCTATATTGATGCTTTTAAATGAATGTTCGTGCCTTTTGGAATTCAGAATGAAGATTGAACACTTACTAGAAATGGCCAACATCACAAAGAAGACATAGTGTTTTTCTTTTTACTATTTTGGGAAAGGGAAATGATAAATTATTCAAGTGCATGTATGTTATGGATTGGTCCCTGTTGTTAACCTTGTTAATGATGTGCAGGTGTCCATTTTATTTTTGTATTATTATTATTATTATTATTATTATTATTATTATTATTATTATTATTATTATTATTATTATTATTATTATTAATAATAATAATATTAAAGGTTGAAGAACTAATGGTATCTTCATTTAACCAAATTCCGTACCATAAGCTATTAAACTCCTGCCTTTTCTTTTAGAAAAATGCCTTTGTTATTCCATTTATTTAATATATGCTACAAAGATAAAGTCTGCAACAGTTTTTTTTTCCAACGATGGTATTCTCTAAATTTCAACCGATTCAGTTGTTGGCAATTAATACTTAAAATGGTTTATGTGTGAATTAATTATCAAAAGAACTCTGAAATTCTCATAGTGATTTTGTTGTTTCTATATACATTACTATTTGTTATTTACAAAAGTGAGAGTAAATAATCATAAGATGATGGAATGAAAGTGTCGCAAGAAAAATGTGTGAAACTTGGTGAAATGGATTTCAACTTTTTCCATCTAATATACACGTTGTGCTTTTTCTTTTGATTTGGAAACGTGATAGAAAAAAAGTTTTATCATTAAAGTTTCTTAACAAATAAATAAATAAATTGTTATGGTTTTGTATTTACACTATTTTATTTTATCTCATTTTATTCTGTTCTACACTCCATTAAATATTCCAACATAAATTTAAAGTTATCACGGTAAGGCTGAATTTCATAAGAAACAAGTTGAAGTTTTGAGTTACATATTTTTTTTTTATAATTAACTCGACTTAAGTCAAATATAGTTCAATTCAAGCTATGCATGTTTTAAAATACGAATATTTATTAAAATATAATATATTTTTTCTTGCTCACAATATATATATATATATATATATATATATATATATATATATATATATGAGAAGGGGATGATGCGAGTCAATGTTTATGTGCTGAATTTTTAGGTTTATTCTTCACTCTTTAACTCACAATCTTGTTATCCTCCAGTGACGAGTCAACAAAAAACGTGAGTCAATTAAGCCATTTTTTTTCACATCAGCCATTCGCGCAGACACCATGCTTTTGACTTAAGACTTTTTCTCTTATCTCTACCCTTTGAGTATTCCCAATATTGAGTTTTAATTTATTCAAACCTTCTATTGTTTTAAGCGTTAAAAAAATCATTATATTTTAATTAAAAGAAATTATTTATATTATATAAAGTTAGTTAATACATTTCAATAATTTTTAATCATTATATTATAACTTAAAAGTAACAATAGTTCCCTCAATTCGTAAATGAAGACAGTATTAAAAATATCTTTTATATTTCAACAATTTCACTACGGTAGTGAGATGAGATTCGAGGTGGTGAAGCAGTAGAATGTAAAATGTAACAAGTTATCATGTAGTTCAAAAGGGGGATGAAAAATATATTTTGTTTGGTTCATTTACCCAAATGAAAATGAATAAATCCTTATATTTAAATGCTGAGAAAGAAATCAATGTATATTTTTTAGCATATGGTTTAACAAAGTCGAGGCATAAGAACAAGAGGGCCTTCAAAATTAGCAATTTCTGGGTCTTGTGTAGCTACATTTCTTAATTATTTAAACTTGGTTCTAACATTAGACTCTATTTTTTCTGGTGACCACATTCTTTGTAGTGATGTGGTGGGCTATAGCATATTTAAAATAATAAAAAAATAAAAAACATATTACCTATTTATATTTTGTAGTTTAGAACCGAACAATGTATTTAATACGTATAATTGATTTTTAGAAACGCCACTATGAATATGACTAAAAATTTTCAAGCCTTGTGAGAGTTATTGTCTTCCATCCCCATTGATGATAATATTTTGTTGAAAAATATTGGTTAAAAGAATTCATGACAACGTAGTTTCTTGAGAATAATTTAAAAAACTTGGTACTAAAGAAAAATAGCCCCCAAAATAAGAGACAGAACCTTAACGAGAGTCCTAAAAATTTCAAATTTTGACATTGATTTGATGAATCCTGATGACAGAAAACGCAGGTTCAATGAAGCCATCGTTAATATGCTATATCCCTCCTCCTCTCCTCAGGTATATCTTTCTGCCTCTCGTTATTTTCTTTCAATTCCAAGGTTAATAGTATACTTTTATCGTCGTCTAGAGCGAACGAGAGTTGGAACCTGCGGAACCCTTGATCGAAGAGTCTGCTGCTGACGTTATTTCAGGTATGATTTTGGACAGCAGGAACCATGCTTTAACAATCGCAAAAGTTGAAAGAAACATTGTTGAAATGTAGGTGCTTTGGATCATTGTGACAACAATTCCTCGACTAGCGTTGAAGAAGAGCATGACTCGGAGACAGAGAAGCTCAGCAGGGCCCAGCGAAAGAAAATTCGGAAGAAGAAACTGAAGGAAGAAGTCATCCATCGCGGAAAACTTATTGGACCGTTGTTGCCTCTGACTTCCACTCAAGTTACACGTGATGCTCCACCTGTTCGATCAAATGCTTCTGAAGAAGGTTCCAAGAACATTCTCACTACCTTTTATCAATGTCTTGTTATGTTATTGATTGCGTTATGTGTGTTATCTCTGACTTTTATGCAACACACCTTGGTTTAGGTGGTGTGGCGGATTGTGGTGGTAAATCAGGGAAAGTGAAGCACCGTAGGATGGCAAAAAGGCTTGCCAAACAAAAGGGAAATGCCTCTACTTTGGACAACACAAATCAAAGTTCCGCTGAGGACCTAAAAGAAGCCCGTTTATAACTAAATGCTGGAAACAATCACAAAATAGAGATGCGATTTTTTAGATTGAAGTTGAGCTCGTGATACAGTGGTTAATTTTTTAAAGTAGTTTCAGAATGGATGGCTGTATTAAAACGAGTTTGCTTCTTGTTACTCAACAAATTTCCTTGGTTAACTGCATCGTTCTGTGACTGCGGTTTACTTCATAATTTCATTTATTACCCCCTCAATTTATATGGGAATGTGTGAAATAGATCATCGATCACGAGAGGAGAAAGTGATAAACGCATTTAATGGGTTTACAGTTCTTGCATCCAGGGGGTGAAAAACGAGAAGTCCTGTAATGCTGGTTCCTTTATTAAACCTACATGTTCTTGAGGACACGCAGTTTCTTGACCTCCTATGGTTTAAGTTGGTAATCTATCCGTCTCGAAGCAAAGGGTTTCGCAATTCCTCTCAAGTTTTCATTCTCTCACCTTTTTGCGATTTCCTTGACCATTTGTAGTGTCCATCCAAGAACTGAAAGGTTGTTTCTTCTTGCACCTTTCTTTTTTTCTTCCTAGCACAATTATAAAATCAATAATCCCCAAATTATCTCACATTAAAATCATAATAAAAAGTTCAAAGTTACACTCTTTCTTTTTAATGAATTTCAGATTGTTCAGTATTTTCGAATTCGAAAAAATGTTTCATAATATGCATTAAAAAATATATTATAGAGTATGTATTCTAGAACGTATTTTCGAATCAAAAAATAACTTTTTAGATTAAAAATCTGAAATAAGTTAAAAAAATTACATTCAAAATTGTTTATTCTAAAATATATTTTTAAATAGGAAATTACAGTTTGAAACCTATTTCTGGAATGAATTAAAAAAAAAAACTTAGGATTCTCAAAATTCGGAAGGTATTTTCACACTGGATCTTCATCTTCTTCGCTCATTCCTCACCACCATCACTCATTCTTCTGCATCTACATCATCAGAGTGCCAACAATGTTCGTGCAACTGTCAATGTAAGTGCCCTCGCCATTATATTCAAAGACCGTTGGACCTGCGCGATTCTCACAAACTTAGAATCAGAGGCAGCACAACAAGGTGATGAAGTCGCGGTGGTCTACTTGCTATTTGTTGCTCCAATGTGAAGGCGTCGTTGAGGGCTCCAGCCAGGGAGCTGCAATCGATGTAAAAGGAGAGGTTCTCGCAAGAGAAGCAACAGTTGCGATGGACCTCTTTGATGAAGAGGAACTCCGTCGAGGTTAGGGAGGTGCTAGAGGAACTCCGATGAAGAGGAAATCGCATCTTCAGTTTCCTCATCTGCCACAGGCCAGTGACAAAGAGCGGCAGGGTAGAATTGCCAATTTATGATACTGGGGTGCAGGAAGAAAAAATTGGGGTGCGGAAGACATAGCAGTAATGAAATCTTGACCGTTAATGGACCGGACCTCAAAGAACTTGGGGCGCTGATATCACACGTGTGAAAAAAAAAACACAGTTTGTAACGAAGGTTGGATTGATCTGCTGTAATTTAAAAAGAGTCCAAATGGGTTGTAAAAGAATA